AGGGGAAGTGGGAGGGGTAGGGGAAAGGAAAAAAGGGAAAAGAAAAAATATGAGAAAAGGAAAACAATGGAAACAAAGTCTTTGCAAATAGGTAAGGGTGGAGGGGGTGAAGGGAGGGCAAGGGAAAGGGAAAAAAATAAGAACCAGGATACTTATGTAATGGTACAAGATCCTAATGATGACTGTAACTGTATTTTATACTGAAAATGTACCAATAAACTTAATAGGAAAAAAAAAGATATTTACCTACATTTATGCATTTTTCCCTAAATCTCCAGCTACTATTTCCTTGGAGTTCTGTTCTTGTTTTCCCAAGTTTTTGAATGTACAACCATATTCTTAGCCCCTGCCCTTGAATTTGTTTGAATCTGCAGCTCAAGTCCACCTCCCTTTTTTTCAAATGGACCATGAAATGTACTAATCAAAATTATGCTCACTGGGAAGATTTCCATCTTCATTGTATTTCAGGGCACACCTAAGTTAGGCTGCTATTACAGTTCTTTTTTTTTTTTTGTTACCGGGGATCGAACTCGGTACCTTGCACTTGCGCGGCAGGCACTGGAACCACTGAGCTAAATCCCCAGCCCTACAGTTCATTTTTATTGATCATGTCATATTATGGAGAGTCATCTGTAACCCTGGCTTGAATTTCTTCTTCTGACAATTAGTTGGAGAGAAATTTCCACAGTTATGAATTGAGGGAGAAAGAAGTAAGCATACTGAAAATGAGAGCCAGCTGTTCATGGATTTACTTAGATTTTCAGAAGCTTCCCTTTCTCCTCCTCCTCCCCTCAATATACCCCTCTTCCTCCTCTTTCTTCTTCTTTTCCATTCCTGGGGATTGAACCATGTTAGGCACATTAGGCAAATGCTCTGCCACTGAGCTACATCCCCAGCTCTCTTCAGAAACTCATTAAACCTGATTTTGTGTATGCCACTTCCCAGTGGGATGCTCTGGACTCACCAAATTTCTGGCATTGTGCCTCTCAGTTAAGACAGGCAACTCACATTGTACTGGTCAGGTAGATGTGGCTGGATGTCTTGGTAAGACATATATATTCTGGAATTGCAAGGTGAAATCCAGGAAGATTCAAGGAATAGTCACTTTGGTGTGATTTTTAGGAGTGCAGTGGTCAGAACCACCCCACAATAATCTCTCCAAAGTGAAAGACAAATTGTTTTGTAGTTAGACCCGGCAATGCCTTGGTATCAATGACACTACCTTTGCCCCTCTGCCTGTAAGTGAACTTGCTCAGTGACCTCTATGGGATGGGGCCCCACAGTAGGTTAGAAAAAAAAAAAAAGATTGGAAAGCAAAGACTCAAAGAGATACTTGTGCAGATACTCTTCACGGCAGCAGTATTCACAATAGCTGAAGTGGGAACAAGGCAAGTCTCTTTTGATGGTTAAATATGGTGAATACATATAATGGAATACTATTTGGCCCTGAAAAGAAATTAAATTCTGCCACATGCTACAACATGGATGGGCCTTGAAAACATGCCAAGTCAAATAAGCCATACACAGAACTACAGATATTGTATGTAATTCTATTTGCCTGAGGTACCTAGAATAGGCAAGCTCATAGAGATTGAAAGTAAACACTCAGGGAGGCTGAGGCAGGAAGATTACAAGTTCAAGCCCAGGCTGAGTGACTTAGCAACTTAACAAAATGTAGTCTAAAAATAAAAAACAAAAATGAGCTGGGGTTATAGCTCAGTGTGAAGGACCTGGGTTCAATTTCCAGTTCCTGAGAGAGAGAGAGAGAGAAAGAGGGAGGAAGGGAAGGCAATGGGAAGTTACTATTTTATGAGAATAGAGATTCTGTTTGTGATGATGAAAAAGTTCTGAAAATAGTTGTGATAGTTATCCAAAATTGTGGATGTACATAATCCAACTGATTTGTATGCTAATAAATGGTTAAAATGATAAATTTATGCTATATATATTTTAACACAAAAAAAGGAATGAAAAATACTAATCAATGTCCTTTACTGTTTTAATGGTAGACAGGAGATGCCATGGCTGGATTCCTCTCGGTTGCATGAAAGGTTTTGAGCAGGACAGACATTAGAAGCTGATCTTGCTCCTGGACCTGCCACTCAAGCACTCGTGAGATTAAATGTGAGGCTCCCCCAGGAATTCCCAGGACAAGACAAGGGATCCAAGGGAAATCATGGCGAGCTGTTGGTTCCATCTGGGTGGTTACCAGGTCCACAGGCAGGAAGTCAGGTGGCTTTGGGGATGGGATGGGAGTGAGAGAGGCAACAGATTCACTATGTCATTAGGGCCTAAAGCTTCCTTTCTCAGTAACAGGCAAAGGATCCCAAGTTAACCAATTGCCAGTGCACAGTATGAAAGCCAGAGAAGGAAATAAGCTCTATGTGCTTGGCAGAGGAGGCAGCAGTGCAATGTAGGAGGAGGTCAAGCTTTGGCATCTTGTGGACCTGAGTTCAAGTTCTGGCACTTGAACCTTGGACAAGTTGCTTAACAAGAGAGACAGAGAGAAAGAGAGAGATAAGGAAGGAAGGAAGGAAGGAAGGAAGGAAGGAAGGAAGGAAGGAAGGAAGGAAGGAAGGAAGGAAGGAAGGAAGGAAGGAAGGAAGGGAGGGAGGGAGGGAGGGAGGAAGGATGGAAAGGAGGGCCCAGTAGGGGCAGTAATGTCTAACTTCCAGGAGGGATTCAAAGGCTAATAATTGAACATCTGTTACAAAACAGATATAGGACCCTCAAAACCCAACAAAGTAAATTCTATCCACTCTTATTCATTGATGAAGAAACTAAGGCACACAGAGGCAAAACAGCTTCACTATTCATTCATCAAATGTTCTTAATGTCTTCCACAATTATAGACCCCAGGGAAATAGCAGGTCAGGAGACAGACATAGTCTGGCCAGAAAAAACAGGAAACAAACAAGCCAGGTAATCTCCAAGTGCTTCCTGAGTGGAAGGAAGATATGCCAAGGACTTTGGGAGCAGCGAGGGAGGCCTGCTCTAGTCCAGAACATCAGGAAGACAGTCTGACAAATTCCATATCTGATGGTTACAAGGAATTAGTCCAAGAAAGGGGAGCAGGAGAAAGGGTCCCATAGGTCCTGGCTGGTGCACGGGTAGGGATGGAATGAAGAGGTGGAATGAGGAGCTCCAGACACACCCTGCGCATGCAGCAGAACCCCCATGAAAATTCGCTCCATCCTCCACCCAGTTTCCGAGAAGACAAAGAACATTATAGTTCAGACACTGCAGCTAGTCCCAGCTCAGGCACTTCCTGGGCAACTCTTGCCCTGGCTCTGGATCTCCTCCCCCAGCTGTGAAGAAGAGAAGCAGCTTAGAATGTTTGGCTCTGATGACTGGTCCCACCTCATTCATTCATTCAGCCAACACGGGCCACACTTTCCCAGAATGTGGGCAAGACCCTTGCCTCAGAGAGCTTGCCTTCTAGAGGAGGGAACACAGGCACTACATACACTAAATACATTATATATATATATATATATATATATATTTTTTTTTTTTTTTTTTTTTTTAGAAAGAACTAGGTGGTACGATAAAAAGCAAGTAAAGCAGGGGTTTGTTTTCACTTTAGAGGGTCATTAGAGTGGGCTGCACTGAGGACGCTTATTGAAGTTGTAGAAACTGAAGGAACAGAAGACAAGCCCAGAGAGGTGACAAGGAATAGCCAGGCAGATGGCAAGACCCTGAGAGGCCACTGTGAGGACTTGGAGTTCTATAAACTGCTGCAACCCTTCCAGCCTCCCAGCCCCTGGCAACTGCTGTGAAGTCTTTTGCAGGAATTTCCGGGTAGTGGTGCCACCCAGCCCCTTCCTCCTGGTGGCTGTGGCACTCTCAGGAATAGCTGCCATGTGTCTTGGCATTGAACTTGGCAACTAGATTTGGGCCTGCTGTGGCCCTCACACCAGCAGACCACAAACCCAGGGATCTCGTGCCCCATCCCACCCTTCACAAGGCTCCCCTCCCGTCCTGCTCATCTTTCTCCTCGTTGCTGGGCACAAAGATAGAAAGAAAAGCTATGTCTGAACCACTCGGTTTTTTCCAGCCAATGCTATCACTGCTAATTGATCTTTATTGCTCACTTCCATCATTTGGAAACACATTTCAGCCCCTGATTGCTCTCTGTGCCTCTGAAAAGTAGAAAATCACCAACCCTCTAACTGAACAATAATTATCTCGACATTGCAAGGCCAACCAGCCCCTCAACCAAGCCCATTACCTCTCTCCTGTCTCCTACTTGGAAAACAATATGAATCAATGGAAGACAGACATTTATCCCCCACTTTACAGGCTGTGCACCAAAGAGTTTGTCAAGGTCTTTTAAAAATCACTTTCCTCCCTCACTTTCTGCTCAGCACTTTGCTTTGTCTTTCTCTTGGCCATTGATTTTTCTATCTTGTTAGGGTTGTTCTGTGCTCCTAAGGAATTAGTAACAAATTAGCCAAGTCCGTGAGTGCAGCTCAGCCAGCAGGCCTCACCTGGCCTGGGCTCTGCTCCCTTCTACTTCATGCCTGACAATGGAGCAGCCCCACAGGATGCAGCCTGGGCTGGAGGTCAGCATGGATTCCTGGGCTTATTCTATGTTGTGAGGAAGAGTGAGGAATTGCTCTGGGCTTGACCTTGGAGTCCGAAGGACTGAGTGTAGACCTCTAGGGGAGGCCATGGAGAGGCAAAAGGATGTGTTGTGGAGCCAGACAGTCCTGAGTTTGAATCCAGGCCTAACCACTAATGGCCTGTGTGGCCTTGGGCAAATGCTATAGTGTTTGGAGGCTCTGGAGGGAGTCACTGTGAGTAGAGTCATTCAGGTATCAGAACCGTGAGCATCCAGTTACAGATCACATTGAGTCACTGAAACCAGAAGGGGTGATGAAGGGAGCTGAAATAGGCTGATTCTGAAAGTGGGGCTGCAGCCTGCCAAGAGAACATATTCTCCAATGGGAAAATCAGGAGGCCAGATCTGTGTCCAGACCAGGATCACTAAATAACCATGTTCAGTATCCAAGAAGTGTGCCGTTGGGTCCAGGGAAGGACTCTGATTGGCAACCTGTACTACAGGTAAAACAAGAAACAGAGCACTGGCAGCTAAAAGCATAGTCCAAAACCAGACTCCTGGCGCAAATCCTGAATCTTCCACTTACTAGATGGTAAACTTATTCACCTTTGTATCTCAATCTGCAAAATGGGGCAAATTGCCAGAAGTGGTGGCATACACCTGTATTCCCAGCACTCTGGGAGGCTGAGTTAGGGGGACTGTGAGTGTGAGTCTAGGCTGAGTGATTTAGCAAGACTCTGTCTCAGAATAAAAGGGCTAAGGATATGGCTCACTGCGGAGCTACGGGTTCAATCCCCAGTAACTCCTTGCCAAAAAAAAAAGGAACAAGTCATTATACCTCATGGGAGTACTACTAATATTAATGAGTTAATTATATGTAAAGGGCTCTGAAAAGCACCTGGCATTTAGGAAGTGCCACATAGGGTTAACTTTAATAGCAGAACAAACAAAAATGAGGGCTATCTTATCACAGAAAATTTAATTTCCCTTCCTACCCACTTATAGTACAAGTAAAAATTAATCATGGGGTTACAAACCCAGACATTATCTTCACTGCTTCCCTCTCCCCCACCACAATCCCGGTCAGCCACCTCATCTTCTTGCCTCTTTCTTCTACCAGTGCCCAGCCATGACACCACCATCCCCTGGCCCAGACTGCTGCACCTGCTCACCTACTAACTGCGCTCCGGTCTCCCTATCCCTAGCCTCACCTTCTCTAATCCATTCATCACACTGCCACCAAAGTGATCATTATAGCTCACAAAGTGGATCAGACTGCTTATTTTAAGCCATACTGTTAAAATCCTCCCAGTGTCTACATTTTAAAACGCCTTGGCACAGAAACTCCTACATGGCTCCCTGCAGATCCCTGCAGCATATTTACTGTTCTCTTCCCCCACACTTTATATTCCAATAAGGCTAAGGTGCTATTATCACCCACACCACACAGATGTGCATTTACTCACACACACACATCCACCACTCCTACACACACACGCACACACGCGCACACACACACTCTGTACTTCATGTGTTCTGTTCTCTCTGCCTAAATTATCCTCCCTGCTTCTCACCCCTCCCCTCAACAACAGCATCCTGACATATTGCTTGGCCAGCTGCTAAACCCAGCTAGCCCTTCAGCCCCAAGTGTCACTTCTTCCTGGAATCTTTCCCTGAAGCCACCATTGGGATTAGACATCTGTTTCCAAAAGGACAATCCCAGATGACAAAGTCCTCAATTTCTGTGGCTTAACCCAATAGAAGCTTGTTTCTCATTCCAGGATGGTCTAGTGTAGGTTTCTTGGTCAGCAAGCAGCTTTCCCTCAAGTAGAAATTTAGGGCTGCATTTTTTGGCTCCATAATCCCTAGGGTATCAGATGATGAAACCACGTGATGGAAAAAGGAAGAGGGACCGCAAGAGGCACACCTATTTCTTAAAATCCCAGGCCAGAAGTGGCACACCCTACTCGCATTCCATGGTGAGGACTAGGCAGTCACAGGGTGGCTCCTGGGTGCAAGGAGGGCTGGGAAATGTAGTCCCTGTGCCTGCCAGTTCCATCCTGTTGAAAGGGGAGCATGCCATTTGGTGGACAGCTGGCCTTTGCAGCCACAGGGCCCTTGTCCGTTCATCCACCCCAGAGTTATTACAAAGCATAGCTGTGATCTGCTTCCATGTCCAGCTCTTGCCAGATTGTGAGCTCCTTCAGGCCAAGGGCCTCACTCCTTTCATGGCTATGTACCCAGCACCTGGCAGCAGTGATGAGGACCATTGGATGAGCAAATGACCTGAGTCAGGACCAGCTCAGCAACTGGGTGGCTGATTCAGCTGGCAGGAGGTCTTCCCTGCAAACAGCTGAGCCAGACCGGAGAAGACAGAAATGCCACCGCAGGTCACAGAAGGGATCTACACAGAAGAAAAGAAAAGACAAGGAGAATGATTTGGCGCCACTGAGAGCTTTGCATCTTCATCTTCATGGTACTTCTCAGGCCAGAGATTACTCAGTCTCTGAGACCTCTGAAACACCTATTCTTCACAGCGAACACATGTAGTCCATCCCATGTACCAACAGATATTCACAGTAACCCGATTTAACAGATGAGGAAATTGAGGCTCAGAAAGGATAAGTGGCATGACACTGTCTCCATACATGGGCTTATGCCCCTTCTCTGGAGCCCTAGAAGCCCTAGGACAAGGATGAGCTCAACTTATTTTCAATTATTTCTGCCAGTGAAAGTTAAGTTTTGGGACAAGGCAGATATTAGACTTGCTAGAGCCAAAAGCAGACATTTTGGAACTTTTAAGCCCCTATCTGTACCTCCGGGCTCAGGAAACAGACAAGCAGCCTAAGAAGCAGCTAACAAGATTATGCTTCACTTTTAATTCTAAGCATTGTTCAAGCTAAGGAAGACTGAACTTTCCATTTTTGTTTATACCTCACAACATCTTTTGGTCAAACTGAAAAACAGTCAAAGTTAAAGCCAAATAATAAATCGCAAGACTCCAAGCCCATCTACCATGACACTTGTGCAGAATTAGCAGTGATAATATTTTGACAGGAAGCTGATCTCCTCTCTGCATTCAACACCAGAGCCAAGCACCCAGAGGCCAGTGATGCGTAAATGCAGCTCCACTCAGCCAAGCTTCATAGCCCCTGCACTGGGCATTTCCATAATCTTAACTGTATAACAACCCCAGCCCCTCCTGGGAAATCATTGCTTCAGAAATGTTTTCTCACTGATGACAAGAGAAACAGCTGTAATTTGTCATTATAGAAATATCCAATTATCAGGCCACCAAGTGATGCCTGTCCTCACTGCTTTCAGTCTGGGCTCGCATCTATGCACCTGTCAGGGCCAAGGCCTGCCAGGCACATTCTCCTCTCTCCCCTCATCCTCAGGAGGGTCCAGCAGCCCTTGTTCTGGGAGGATTAAAGCCTCCTCCTGATGCCATCTTTTGACACAACTGCAGGGAGAACAGATTATGATCCACTCAATACCTGTCAGAACTGCTATCTCCCTGGAGAGGGTCCAGCCAGTTTCCCGACAGAAGGCACTTTTTCTTCTTATTTTTTCCAAGAGGATGGAGTGACTGTTGCCTTAGTTTCTTTTCTTGCTGCTGAGACAAAATACCACCTGACATCCAAAGTTAAAGGAGGAAAGTTTATTTTGGCTCACAGCTTGTAGAGGTTCCAGTCCATAGCTGGCTGGCTCCAAACCAGGGTGGTATGGCCAAGGGACATCACAGAGGAGAAACAGTTCATGGTGGGCAGAAGGCAGGAAAGCAGCAAAGCTGTGAAGTTGTGAGGAAGCAGAAGCATCAACCCTCTTTCTGTCCCTTATATTCTACTCAGGCTACACACCTTTAGGGCAGGTAACACTCACATCCAGGGTGGGCCTGCCCATTATCCACACCCAGAACTATGCCAAACCAATCAATGGACTAATTTAGTAATCACACACCCCTGATTCCAGCATAACACTCTAGATCTAGATCCAGCCACCTCTGAAAACTCCCCACCTATGATCACATGAGGCTTTGGGGGGGGGGGCATCTAGACACAAGCCATAACACCTGTGACAAGTTAAAGTGCTCAGAACTTGAAACCAGTCAGGTGTGAGTTTATTTCATGTCTCTGGGTCATTCTAGTTGTATGACCTGTGAGGCACACTTGGGACAGAATCCTCCATGGATGGAATGCACTGGGGGGAAACAAATGAGAAACAGCAGAACCTGGTATAATAGTAACAGCCAACATTTATAGATAATAAGTGTTATATGTGCATTAACTCATTTTATCTTCACAGCAATCTTGCAAAGTGGGTGTTGTTATTATTGTGTTTTTATAGATGAAGAAACTGAAGCAAAAAAGGTTAAGGAGCTTCCCCTGTGTATGGATGAGTTGAGGCATAAAAATGTTAAGTAACTTGCCCAAGTTCATACAGCTACTAAGTAACAGAGACAGGGCTCAAACCCAGGCAAGTCTGTATACTAAGCCACTATCTATACATACTATGCCATGGTTTCTTGATTATATTACATGGACTTTTGATCTTAATAAACTTTGTAAAACTGGTTGAATCTTTGTTGTGCGCTCTGACTAAACATTAAACTTTGAAGTGAAAATTTTCCCTAGCTTTGGCATGGGAACTGAAGAGAACAGGGTGGTGTTCTCTGAGAGAACACTGGCCTTTTCATATTTTGACAAGAGGATTATGGCAAAGAAATAAATAGCTATAATCATTCTGCCACACCTTTGTACCACCTTAGAGTTTATTCATTCATTTATTCAACAAATATTGATCAAGGCCCTGCTATGAGGAAGCAATTTCACATCCATTATCTCTGATGGTCTGGCTTCTAGACATTGGAGTGAAATAATGTGGAATGTGGCTCCTTCTCTTGTCAAGTTTACACCAGGGTCTCTGACTCCTTGGGACAGGACCAGCTCCCATTCTATGGTGCTCCAGGTAGAAGAAACAGTCAAGTCTTCCTCTGGGCTATCGCGCATGCTCCTCTGAGGTGTTTAACACCAGATATCTCACCACCCAGTTTAGAAGATTTCTCCAAACTAAGTCTGGCCCACAAGAGTGACACAGTTCCCCTATTAATAGGATGCATGAAAGAATGGGGAGGGATGAGGGAAAAAACATCTGTTTTTGTTGTGGAGTATTTGTGACCTAGAACAATCTGTACTTGAAGTTCTATCCCCTCCCTAATGAATGGGGTGGGATCTCCATAGCACACAGCCTGATCATCTGAAATATGCCCTCCTTGAGCATGTCCTACTCAAGATAAGTCACCAGAAGTTTGGGACAGCTTTCCTGTCACTTCTACAGGGAGTCAGTGTCATTTTCGCTACTTGGCAAGCTGTTCTGACTTGGGGTGTTACTGCCTTGCATTGAGAGATGTGTGAACTGAATTCCAAGGGCACAGCTGAGACCACCGTAGGATCAAGGCACAAGAAGGCAAGATCAGTGACACTCTGAGCTAAGAAAAGGTCACCCAGCCACCTGCCTACTCAATGGGTTCCACTACTGTACCATGATAGGCAAGAGAAAGGAAGAGAGGGAAAGAAGCAGGGTCACCATGGAGATAAGAGCTCTCACAATCTATCTAACATCACACTTGGTGTCAATCACACCTCTTCGCTAAAGGCCCGTTAGGACCCAAGTCAGAGGGGGACAAGTCTGCACTGAGATTGTTTGTACTACGCCCCTATCACAAAAGCTACATTTCAGAAGCAAAAGACGAGCTAACATTCTACTTCAATGTCAGTAGTAAAAAGCAAGTAACTTTGGGCATGAGAACAAAGAAATAAGAATGGAGCTTTAACACTTCCACAGAGAAGCAAATATTTGCACTTATTAATATCCTGAGACCCATGCTGCCATGAATAGCTCCTTCTCTTTTTGTCCCATGCCTTTGTCTAACACAGTGATATATCGCCACCCTTTCAAACTCCTGACACAGATGACATTGAAGCAAATTATGTACCTCGGCCAGATTTCTCTGTTGAAATGGAGATAGCTGATGTGTACATTTTTCCATCTAATTAACATTCCACAGTTTGAATAGCTGTTATCATGCCCTGGGTCCCATATGAATGGGTGAATAGATAGAAAGATCCATAAACAGCTTGGCTTGCATAGAATGAGATTTTTTTCCCCAGACAAAGAGAAAATGGAATGAGTCATTGTCACTTGGATAGTAGCAGTCACCAGAGACTAGTGCAAGTGCACTTCCTCTGCGTTCAGGCCCAGTGTGTTGCCTAGCACCCACGGCAGTGTCAAGAGGACTTTTGCCCCTCCTCATCTCTGTGTTTAGCCAGGCAATTTTTTTTCACCCAGGTCTTTGTCTATGCCATGTGTTGGTTTCAGAAATATGTCCCATGCTTTTTGCTATTCCTCCAATCAAGAGGTATGGTCTAACTCTCCTCTCATATTTAGTGATTTACTTCCAACAAATAGAACATGATAGAGGTGATGGTGCACAGCTTCTGAGGCTGGGACAAAAATGCATCGCCTCTCTCCCTCTCCCCACCCACATTCAGTCATCCTGGGGAAATGAGCTGGCATTTGCAGTCCTATAAAGAGGAGGCCTCGTGACTACAGCCATGAGAGTAAACCAGCCCAGCCAAGCTTTCAGAAGAGATCACAGCCCTAGCCAATATCATGATCCTGCCTCGTAGAAGAACCTGAGCCAGAACCACCCAGCTCGGTTGCTCTGAAATTCCTAACTCATAGAAACTGTGTGATAGAATAAATTTAGCTGTTTTTAGCAACAAGTTTTGAGGTGATCTACCAGGTAGCCATAGATAACTAATACACACTGTGGCTTTTCTTAACTCTCATCACTATAGTTTTAGGAATTATTTATGTATTTTTCTCCCAAATGTTCAAAAGCCAAAATGACTACTGCCTCCACCTTGAAGTGAATGTGAGGTGATCAGAAGCCCACTAGGGCTTCAACAAGCTGACCACTTTACTGAAAATTGCATATCCTACTGGAAAGGGAGAAAAATAAATGAAGAAAAAAAGAGAAAATACCAACGGTGTGCTTCAGGCTACTCACTACTCACTCTGCTCTTCCTCCGTGATCTCCCAAGGAAGTCCCACATCTTATGACCACTTACAGCAGCTATGTGTGTGCCCTTGGCCCCTGCCTAACTCCTGGGCACTGGTCTCCCATGAAACCTGCAGCCAGCCAACTGGCATGCACACCTGCAATAGTCCAGCCCACACAAACTACAGAGCTAATAACCCCAGGCACGACTCAACAGTGTCAGGGGAACTTGGGGCTTTCCAAGCAACCCAGATATGGAGACCTATAAACAAGGAGTAACCACAAATTAGCAGAGGGGTGAAAGGTCTCAGATTAGGAACCAGAAAGGAGAATGTTTAATTCCAGAACCTGCTTGATGACCTGATTGACCCTCAACAAGTTAAGTAGATTTTTCCCTGTAAACTAGAGCATAATACTACCTGTCTTAAATGAGATTCCACAAAATCTGTGGAACCACTTAATACAGGACTTGACACTTACTCCATAAATATTGCTGCTAATAGTAAAAATGGAAGGTTAAGAGAGAAAGCTTAGACTCTCTTCCCAGCCCTGTGTAACAAATTCATTCATCTTATTGTAAATTCTGGTGAATCTTCATGCTTGGTGCAGTCTGGTTCCTTGCAGCTTGTTTTGGCTTTTTTCCTGCAACTACACTCAATCTTCCCTGGTTTATATCAACTCTGGTCCTGCCTTCCAACTCCTGCCTGGATTCCCAGCCTGCTCCTAGGCTCCTATAATGCTCTTGCCTTGCCAGTATCTACCCCACATCCCTGCTTAAACACTGGTCATCTCACCCTGGCCAGGTCCCACTGATCTTTGCTCTATAAAGAGCAGTTGCCCTGCCACCATAAGTTGTTCCTACACATCTTCTACTGGTTCCCTGGATGTTTTGTTTTTAGGAGGAAAGAAAGACCCTAGTGGCCTCCTTACATGCAGGGAACTGCCTATTCTGGGGAAAACTAACTGAAGTAATTTACATACCCTGCTAATTATCTCTCTACCAGACTCCCAGCTAAGTTGCCGTAGCAACACCTAGCAGCCGGCCACTGTCACCAGCTGCTTCTGTAAGAGAGTTCTTCTAACTGTTTTATAAACAGTCTTTATTTAGTAGCCTTAGTGCAGAGAAGGGTTAAGCTAAATAGGGCTCTGAACAGTATGTAGCTGGCTTCATGCCATCACCTTTGTTTGGCTTTGCCTCTACTTTCCTGTGTAGCTAGTGACATTCCTCAAGGGCCAATAGCTTCCAAGGAGGGATGGGTGGGACAGTCAGGAGAAATGTTTCCAAGCACATCTTGAAAATCAGATGGACGTTCTAGCTGCATGACATCAGGAAAATTATTTCACCTTGTTGTGTCTCAGTTGATTCATCTGTAAAATAGGAGTGGTAATATCCACCTTTCAGGGTTGACATAAGGATGAGCTAAATTAATGCACCAGTACATATTTAGTGCTGTTTGCCATGATTGTGAATAATTTCAGGGAAGAAAACAACAGCCATCTTTCCAAGTGACACTGTAGCAGTACGAGCCAGTCTAATAATTCAGGTGATTGTGAAATGTAGAGTCTGTCTCTGGGTATGACTGTTAATCATGTTATG